TTTTTTTTATGAAAATATTCGAATGGATGTAATAATAATAATAATAATAACAACACGAATAGTTTTTAAAAAAAGAACGTTCGAGAAATTTCTCATGAGGAATTATTATTATTATTATTGTGCATGTTCTTTTTTTTTAATGCAAAGTAAAAAATTCGTTTTTTTAGTTTAAACATTTATCGGGAGGGAGGGAGGAAGGGGGAGAGAGAGAGAGGGATGAAACGGGGGTATATTATAAATTTACAATTACTTAATTTTCTGGAGATAATAATAATAATAATAATAATTTTCGATTAATAATAATAATAACGCGAATAAATCAAAACGTGGATTTGTCCGATTTGCCCGTAGGTTGTTTTTGATTCGTTGTTCGTTTTTCGGTTAAAAAAAAAGAATTAACGAAAATAAATTTTTAATTAAGGTATACGAATTTAATATCGTTTAATTACGAAATAAATAAATAATAATAATAATAATAATAATAATAATAATAACGGTATCGTAGGTATCAAAAATAAATTATCGTTTGCGAGACATATATCGATATAATAAAAAATTTAAAAAAATGAATGAATAAAGTGACAAAACTTTTGAAATGTTGTCGTTGTTGTTGTCGTTGTTGGTTGTTGTTGTTGTCGTTGTTGGTTGTTGTTGTTGTCTCTGTTTGTTTTTGTTTGTTTTCTTCACGTTTGATTATACCATAAACAAAATGAAAATTTAAATAAATTTTACTTGAGAAAGAATTCGTGTGCGAGGCATCTTATTTATTTGTTTATTTTTTTTAAATATCGTAGGTTATTAAATAAGGATCGTGTCATTAGATAAAATAATGAAGTTATTTTTATTTTAAATTGCCCTTTTTTTTTTTTTTATTCTAATTTTAATTTAAATTTAAGAATTTTCGATGCACATACAAAAAACGTAAAAAGGAAAAGAAAAAAAATTTTAAATGACGTCATAAATTTTTTTTTTTTTAGAATTATTTTGATAAACGTGACGTATAAAAAATTATAATGCCACGTGGTGTAATTTTTTTTTAATAAAAAGGATAAAATAATTCATTCGAATCGAATAAAAAAATAACTAAGGTCCAATCATTTCGATCGATTTAAAAAAAAAAAAAGGTTTCGAAAACATGTCGGAAATAAAAAGAAAGAAAACCTTTTTGTCACACCTAAAAAAAAAAAAAAAAAAACGACGACACACACACAAATTACTCGGTTTTATTCGTTTTTAAAGTGCCATCAGTAAAAATTATTACTTTTGTCACTGGTTTAATGTGAATGAAAGAAAACAAACAAACAAACAAACAAACAAACAAACAAAAACAAACAAAGAAAGAAAGAAAGAAAAAAAAATTTTAATTACGTTTCGACTGTTTTCTGTTTTTCTGTTTTTTCCTTATCGATTACGGTGCGGTTTATAATTTTTTGTTTTTTATTTAAAAAGGTTGGTAACCCTGTGATTTTTCATAGATAACACAAATTATTAACTTTATTATACTCATCGTAAAGTTTAATAATTTGTCTTCTTATTTATTTTTCTTTCAAAACTCACCCTTTAAATTTTAATTCGTTTTATTTCTCACTAATCCGACGGGGGAGAAAAAAAAATTAAAACGTATCGATCAAATTTTTTATTTTTTTTTTGTCGCATTCATTCGTGTCGCGTTCGTGATCGGGGGGGGGGCAAGATTGGGGGGTTTGGGGTGGGAGTAGTTAAAAAAATTACCGAGAATTTATTTATATTTGAAAGCAAAAAAAAAAAAAATCCGCGTGACGGTTTATGTAAAAAATAATTTTTTTTCGTTGTTGACAATTTACCTAAATCTCGAGAGCACAATGAGGGGGGGGGGAGCACAATGAGGGGACCCAAAAAAATATTTGCGATAGTTTGCTTATTATTATTAATTTCAAAAACTTTTTCTTTTTTTTTTTTTTTTTTTTTACTAATGAGTTACTAATAACGCTAAGAAAAAAATAATTGCTTGGATAATTAGTATACTCTAGCCAAAGGTAGCTAATGATAATTACAATCAATGCGCGCAAAAAAAGAAATATTCTTGTTAGTATTTTTTTTTTTTTTTCTAACTTGATTTTTTTTATAACTCTATCATTATTATTATTATTATTATTATTGGAAAAAAAATAAATTTTCGAAAAGGTTATAAAAGACAATTCGCGTTTGTTAAAATAAATTTTAAAAAAAAAATTGTTGTTGTTGTTGTTGTTGTCTCGTACGATTGTATTTATTCAAAATGATATAAACACGTAATTAGTCACATGAATCGGGCAAAATTATTTATAAAAAAAAAAAAAAAAAAAAAAATACAAAATCAAACGCAAACAAACGAACGCACGCACTCACTCACGCACTCAATCACGCACTCACGCACGCACTCACGTTTGATTAATAAATTGCATGAAATAAATCAAATGAAAAAATATATCAGCCACCGCAAGTATATCTGGAATGTAATAAGGTAAATGAATATATAGATGAATGTATGAAAGGATAGATGGATAAATGGATGGAGAGATAGATGAATAGATAGATGGATTGGTAGATAAAAAGATGAAGAAGAAGAAGAAAGACAAATTATAAATATTGATTGTATTATGTATTGATTGATTAATTGTGCGATTTGAAAGGTGTGTCCCAAACCGTGGTAACCAGTTACATTGAGTTAGTTAAAGCCAAAAGGCATATATTACTTTAGTCTTTAATAATAACATTTTCTTTAATGTGTTCAATTCAAAAATAAATCTTAAATCTCTTTTAGGATCCATACCTGACTCACTACGTATACCTTATTTTGTTACACGGTAATTAATTAAGTAAAATTTTACACGCTGAGGTGTTTGCATATTCTAGAAAATTCTAATCCAACGAGTTGAGTTGGTTTAATTTTTATTGTTATGTCGAACCATAGAGTAAATAAATGGAAATGAATGAAACAAAATTTAAATTTATTTTATTTAAAAAAAAAGAAAACAAACAATTTAATTAAAAAGTTATGTTGAGGTTTTAAATCGTTCGATACCTGATATCGTAGTGGTGTCGATTGTTGTTGTCGTTGTCGTTGTTGTTGTTGTTGTAAAAGGGAAAAAAAAGGAGAGAAGAAAAAAAAAAATGTGTCGAAAAGTTTATGTAATTCTTGCTCAGACAAAACAAGGTTTTGATTCAATTATGTTTGTTGTCAAATCAAAACTTTTCTTCATGCTTGATTATTAACGACAAACGAACGTTCGAATAATGTGTTGTTGTCAAAAAAAAAAAATTTAGGTCCAAACCTGAATGAATATTTTGAATTCGTTTTTTTTTTTTTTTAAATGAAATAATTTATTCGTATTTTTAGAAAAAAAAAAAAAAAAAAGGTGTGACCGAAGAAGCAGAAGACGAAAAAAAAAAAAAAAACATCCGACGACGATGATGATCATGTTGACAATAACAAATTTTAATAATTGATTTTAATTGTTTTCTTTTTTTTTTTTTTCTTTTTTTAAAAAATCCGGTTGGCAATCCTGCAAAAAAAATTATTTTTTTTTTTAACAATAGACGCAATCACCAACAATTATTGTATTGTTATTATTATTATTATTTATAAATAAATATTTAAAAAAACGTTTTTTTGAAATTTTTCAGGAGCGAATTCAGACGGATATCGATGTTTTGCTATTGTTAACAGGAGTCTTTGGATTTTGTAGGATTTTATGGATTTCAAAGGGTGAGTCTAAATTTTTTCCTTTTTTTTTAAATAAGCAAAAAAAGAAAGAGAGAGAGAAACAAAAGGAAAAGGATAAACCTATCACGAAAAAAACAAGGTAATTAATCAAACGGTTATTTTTTTAAAATATCGCGGCTACACCTGTGTGTGTGTGTGAGTAACAATATTTAAAACGGGTATACCATCATCATCCACCCCTAAAAACTACCCGCCGGTAGCGACTACGACCACTTATATTAATTTATATAATATTTAAAAAAAAAAAAAAAAAAAAAAAAAAAAAAGGTGTCAGGACTGGGAGGTTTTTTTTCTCCATCGGTTTGTTTTTCCTTCGGGTATTTCATTATTATCATTATTATCATTATTCATTTATAACAAAATGAAATTTCGTAATTTTATTAATTTCGTTTCAAGTTCGCAAGAAAAAAAAAAAATTTCTTCTGCTTTTTTTCACGATTTCGAAAAGGTATAGGAAAATTAAGTTATTTGTTGTTGGATGGAAATTTTTATTTCATTTGACGTTTTTTACCTTTTTTCTTTTTTTTTTTTTTTAACGAAAAGAAAAACACGTTATTTAAAAGAAACGCACGCACGTACGTACGCACGCATACACGCATACACGCACACACTCACGCATTACGATCTGTGCATGTCATTTCCGTAATTTCATAGTCGAAGAGGGAAGTAAATTAACGTATTATAATCCGACGCCGTTATTTTACTCAAAGCGTTTTCTTTATTATAATTATATTTCGTTTAAGTGTGATCTTTGCTCGCTTCAACCTCATTCTCTAACTCGTTAAAAATAAAAAATAAAGAAAGTTCCCTAAAGCCCCGTTTGCATAACTTTACTCGTGTTGTCGCCTTTGGGAAAGCTTAATTGTGCGGAAAGCAAATTAGCGTCAACTTGGGCGTTGTCGAATTTAAACGGTTAAGGACCTAACTTGGCCTTATTATTATTATTATTATTATCATTATTATTATTATCATTATTATTATTAAACAATTTTTTTCAAAAGGTACATATAAATAAATAAATAGGTAAATAATAATTAATTAATTAATTGATTGATTAATTGAGGGTTGTGTTGTAAAAAGTGTTGCCAATTTAAAAAAAAAAAAAATTTATTATTATTATTATTATTATTATTATTATTATTATTTAAATAAACATAATTTACATATGAAGGGGAGGGGGTGGAGCGAGGGGATGGGGAGGAGGTAGGGAGGGGGGGGGGAAATTACAAAAAAAAAAAGAAATAGGAAAATTTTTTTATGATTTTTGTTTGTCTCTCGTAGTTAATTCCAACGGTTGTTGTCTGTTTCCATCTTTTTCCATTTCCATTCTTTGTCTTTCTCTTTTTAACATGGCTATATATTCTCTTTCTTTTTCTTCGTCGCTTTCGTCGTTTACGTTTATCTCTTCTTCTTCTTCTTCTTCTTCTCCTTCTCCATCTTCTTCCGAGTCTATCATTGAATCGTTTCCATTTTGTTCGAAAGATTGTTTTCTTCCCTGAGGATTTCGTGACGCGACGTTTCCATATTTAAATTGCTGCTGCTGATGATGATGATGATTATGATGATGATGATGATGATGATGATGATCTTCGTTTTGAAAATAATTTTTTAACGCTTCGTGATTGTAATAAAAATTAGGGGAAGATTCTTGTATATTTTTCAATGCTTCTGCTTGATAATTTTTTAAATCTTCCGCACGTATGTAAGTTTTAACGGGTTCGGAGTCTTTTTTAGCACACGGGTGTAGAGCTTTGAAAGCGCTGTTTTTCCCTCCCATTAATAATCTCGGAGATATGGGAGATGAATCCGTAACCGCGGGCGAATTGTGAGACGGTGATATCCTTCCGGAATCTGTAACGTTCGGCGATGAACTCCTTTTTAAAATTCTCATTCTTTGGTGTCTCCGCCATTTGGCTCGTCTGTTAGAAAACCAGACCTAATAGTCAATCGAAATTGTAATCAGATTCAATATTTTCGTTTTTTTCGTTGTTTATAACAAAAAAAAAAAAAAAACGTTTGGAAATAATAATTTTTTTACCTGGACTCGAGCTTCCGATAAAGATGTTTTGGACGCCAATCGTTCTCTTGTAGACACGCAAGGATAATGACTTTTCTCAAATTCTTTTTCCAATTCTTCTAATTGATCCGGACTAAACGTTGTTCTATTCCTTCTAAATTTCGGTTGATCGCTGTCGTCTAAACTCGATGTTTCATCCTTTTCGACATCTAATAATTAAATCAAATTTTACGTTGAAAAAGTAAAAAAAAGTAAAATGAAGATTTCGAACGTGTGTGTGTGTGTGTGCGCGCGCGCTAATTACCCATTAATCTAGGTATTATGATATCCGATCCGGGTACGTTTAACACATTTCCGGGACTAGAACTGCTTTGAGAGTTACTTGTTCGTCCGTGTTGTCCTCCCATACCGGAAATCGATCCGCCCGATACGGAACTAGCATTCCACAAATGAGCCGTGGCTGGATGCCACGGAAATGCCGCAGCATAAGGATGAGGATGATAGAGTCCATATCCGGCAGCTCTTGCAAATTCTGCAGCTGCTCTTTCCGCTGCACGATTTCTCAATATTCTATTAATGGAAGATACCGATGGGGCCGTCGCGTTCGTACAAACACCTTTAAACGAAATAATAATAATAATAATAATAATAAAATGTCACGAATCCCGTAAAAAAAAAAACTATATACGCATCTCGGGTGGTCTTTCACGTAATAAGAATTTCAAACACATTCAGGTACATTTTTTTCATTTTTTTTTTTAATCAAAGGGATTTGACCGGAGATTTGAAAAAAACCCCGAGTGACAGCCATTAGTCATGTTGATTGCTGCCGTTAATTAAATCATTTTTACATCTTTTCATATTTTAATGTCGTCTTTTTCATTGTCCTTCCGTCATTCGACATCGTGCCTTACAAAAAAAAAACTCGACTCGAATATTCAGTGATTCAATTGTTTGCAACTTGAGCGAAACGAATGAGATATTTATTATTATTATTATTATTATCATTATTCTCTACATTTTAATATATTATTATTATTATTATTATTATTATAAAAAAAAAAAACTTTCGAATGCTTGAGTTAGTAAAATCAAAGTCAATTTTTACAAAACTGTTAATTACATATTAATTTGTAAAAAAACAAATGCAAACAAGCGGATAACATTCTAGTAAATTTCCACATAACTCCGATAATAATAATAATAATAATAATAATAATAATAATAATAATAATAATAATAATAATAATAATAATAATAATAATAATAATAATAATAATAACGACACGAAAGCAATTATTAAATTAAATAAAAGCATTAATTTAAAAAAAAAAGTAAAAATTGATACAGACAGTGAATAATACCAAAAAAAAAAAAAAAACAATAATTAAATTTCATTAACAAAAAATATAAATAATAATAATAATAATAATTAATTGTTAAAATTGTATTAATTAGTCCAAGCTTGCACAACCCGAAACCAAAACAACAACAAACAACAACCGCAACCGCCGCTTATAAAAAAAATTATGTTTACGCGGTTTTACCTACGGCTAATATTAAAATGAGAGAATAAAAAAAAAATATTAATAATAATAATAATAATAATAATAATTAGAATGTGACATTTCCTCATTTCTTAACTACTGTCAACCTTGATTAAATCGAAGCATGAATTTTTTTTCGAATAAAATCGATGAGGGGGAGCGGTGGGGAAAGAGGGGAGGCGGGGAGGGGAGGAGAGGTGACGAGGGGGGAGGAATGTAAACGATGATCTTTCCGCCATTTTTTTTTTTTTTATAAAACTTTATAGTCGTTGACGCATGTAAAAAAAAAAAAGTAAAGTTACATTCGTTGCTTTAGGGTCAAATAATCGTATTATTATTATTATCATTATTATCATTATTATTATTATTATTATTATTATTATTATTATTATTATTATTATTATGAGGAAAAGTAATAAAATTTGGTAATAAGTCAATTGTGATTTTAATAAGTTGAAGATGATTGTTTTGTAAGGATTTCGTTTAATTAATTATTATTATATTCGTACATGTTATAATAATAAGTAAGTAAACGCATGAAAAAATGATTTAATATTGGTAGTCGTCGAAATACGAGGATGGATACGGTACTGAAAAGGTTCCCATTAGTTAGTTTTTTTTTTACGTCACGGTTCGACAATCACAACGAGTAGCAAAAAAAAAGAAAGAAAAAAGCACCGAAATGTAAGCTTAAATTGCCCAATAGTTTGACTGGCTGTCATGGTCATTGACTAAATATGTGCTTGACTCAAACATTCATTATTTTGGGTATAAAGGCGGAATCGTAGAAAATAAAATCCACGGGTTCGTTCGCTGCTACCACTTTTTTTTTTTTTTTTTTTTTGTGACGACGTGGAAAAAAACGTGTAACTAAAACTCACCTTCGGAAATGAGCCTTTCACGAATTTCCCAAGCGAATATTGTTGGATTTTCTCTTTTGTATTGTTCGATTTTCGATACGACAGCAGGTGTGGCTACTTTCGGTTTGCTACCACCAATAAGACCTGGAGGTCGAAGAGTACCTGTATGAAACAAAAAAAAATGCGATTATTTATTGTTTTTTTTTTATTATTAATTTTATACATTTGTGTTAAAAACGAAACACGTGATGGTGTGGTGGTGGCGGTGGCGGTGATGATGATGATGATAAAAATGATTAACAATTTCCACGAGGAAAAAAAAAAAAAAAAAAATCATTGATTTAAACAAGTCGGCGAACTGAAAATATCGGGTCGGCCCAGATATTCAATTCAGACATTAATTGTACGTTACTTCGGTTCTTTTCTTTTTTTTTTAATATCAGATAAATGATTTTTTTTTTTTTTTTTTTTTTTTTTGAGGGTTTTAACAGGTGATTTCCGGTCTCTCTCTCTCTCTCTCTCTCTCTTTCTTTCACTTTTTTTTTAATTATTATTTCTCTTGGAATCATTTTCATTATCATATAATGCCCGGAGGTTCGCACGGGTCGATGGTAGTATATTACTTTACCGCCTCCTTTTTCCTTTCTCTCTCTCTCCCCTCTCCCTCTTCCTCTCCCTCTCTCTCTCTCTCTCTCTCTCATTAAATTAGTAGTCTTATATCACGTTTGACGACAAAGAAGTGATACTCTCATTGGTGGACGGTGCGTGACACGACCATCGCTAAAAAAATTATTATTATTGTTATCGTCATAGAACAAAACCCATCATTGAATTAGCCGTGGAATATAATAATATTTTCGGCTTGACATATGTCATTTCATTGACCGACCGATCTTTTTTCTTTTTCTTTTTAACTTTACAAGTCCTACAGATGGTCAACACAAGAAAAAAAAAAAAAAAACTTTTATTTTGTATCCAACAAACAAACAAACAAACAAACAAAAAGGGAAAGAGAGACTTTTTCATCAACATCCTAGTATCCTAATAATTACCCGTTAATTCTTTAATTAGTTTTCAATTATATAAGGAAAAGAAAAAAGTTTTTTGTATGTTTCGAACATTATTAATAACCTATTGTATAATTACACGTTTTTATATATTCAATAGATTTATCCCCTTCCTTCACCCCCTTCTTTCCACCCCCTCGTTCTCTCTAAATAAATAAAAATTATTTTTTCTGTTATTAAAAAAAATTTTGGACATGGCATAATGAAGTAAATCCTGGGAAAATCATTTATGACTGACTATTGTATTCGATTTTTATTAAAGGAGAGAAAGAGAGCGAGAGAGAGAAAGAGAGAAAGAGAGAGAGAGAAAGAGAGAGAGAGAAAGAGAGAGAGAGAGAGAGAGAGAAAGAGAGAAAAAGAGAAAAAAAGAGAGAAGGAGAGAGAGAGAGAAGGAGAGAGAGAGAGAGATAGAGAGAGAGATTTTGGATAAATTTAAAATCGGGGTTAGAAATCAAATTATATAATTGCCCATTAGGAAAAAAAAAAACCTTTTGGAGTCTTCGAAGGTGGTCAATAATATTTAGGAAAAGGTAGGCCGCGTACCCGGGGGGGTCTCCTCATATCGGCCCCAAAAAAAAAATTATCTTAAACTCTTATCGATATACTACGTTATTTTTCTATAATCGATACGTTAAAAATTATTTTATTTGTTAATAATAATAATAATAATAATAATAATAATAAAACAGGTTGCAAGGTGTATCTCGAAAATTTTTTTTTTTTTGCGTGTGTGTGTGCGTTTAAACAGACGCCTGAAGTTTAAAATTTTCTTAAAAAATCCCAAGAGTTTATTTAAAAAAAAAAAAATTTTCTTTCGGAAAGGAAGGAAGGAAGAAAGAGAGAGAGAGAGAGAGAGAGAGAGAGAGAAAACTTTCGAAACCGGAAACGGATGTAATATATTTCTTTTTTTTTTTTTTTTCTCGTACGGATCCATAAATTTCTTTTCTTTTTGTTTTTTCGATGGCGAATTTTTAACAGAAAATTTTTTTATTTTTATTTTCTCGGTTTCTATTATTGTTAAGCGAAAAACAAAAAAAATCAGGTATCGTGTCAGGTATCGTGGCAGGTGTGTAAAAATTTACCGAAAAAAATTTTAATCACAACATTAATCGTGTTTTACTTAAATTTCCACATTTGATGATGATGATGATGATGATTTGTTCTCGATTAATAAATAATCACACTCTATTATTATTATTATTATTATTTTTCATTAACGTTTTTTTTTTTTTTTTTTACGAATGATATTATTAATGATGATATTTTTACCGAGGAAAATACATTTTTAATTATATAAAAAATTCAGGTACGCTAAAAAAATTTCATTTTAACATTCGGTTCGATTCAGTTTTCTTTCCTTTATTATTATTATCATAATTTTGGCGTTCGTGAGAGAGTGAGAGAGAGAGAGAGAAAAAGAGAGAGAGTACAAACGTTGTGAAATTTTATTTATAAAATTATATTTACGCCCCTCGGTTTTTTAATAAACGTTAGTCATGAAATGATAACTAACACACACACAATACGTACGTATATTTTTTTCTCTCTCTCTCTCTCTTCCTCTCTTCCTCTCTCTCTCTCTCTCTCTCTTTCAACGTTCAATTACAACCACCTTGACCGAGGGGGTAATGGTATAAAAATATATGTGGTCAAATAAATAAATAGTCGCTCTCCCGAATGGATACGTTAAAACTTTTGAAAGCGTATATATAGAAGCAAATGCTTACGTTTGACATGCAAGTCTAAATTTTAATTTTTACATGTAACTCCTGCAATTAACCGAAAGATAATTACCTTCTTTGCGGATAATGATACCCGGTATATTGGGATTAATTTATGTGTGTGTGTATACCTGGTTGGCACATGCACACACTCAAGTACATACACGAACGAATAATATTCATGTTGTTATCAAAAAAAAAAAAAAAAAAAAAAAATTTTTTTAATACGGAATTTTAAGTGAAAACTAAATAAGAACAATTTTCGTAAATAGAATAGTGAGGAGAGAGAGAGAGAGAGAGAGAGAGAGAGAGAGAAAGAAAGAGAGAGAGAGAGAGAGAGAGAGAGAGAGAGAGAGAGAGAGAGAGAGAGAGAGAGAGAGAGAGAGAGAGAGAGAATACACCTTGTACGTACCTATTGTGTATAAAAAGTTAAGCAAAACAATCGTTTTTAAAAAAGAAAAGAAAAGAAAAAAAAATGAGGAGTGTGTTAATCTTGTGTTAAAAAAAAAAAAAATTTCTTAATTAATTTCATTATGTTGCAAATAACGTTTTTTTTTTGTTTAAAAGATAAAAGAACATTATAAAGTTCGATTATGCAATTACAATTCTCCGGATACATTATCATTATCATCATCATCGTTATCGTTTTTTTTTTTTTGTAAAAAGCCTCACCTTTTTCTTCTGCCACGTTTAATATTCAAAAAATCAATAATAAAAGCTTTAAATCAAAATAAAATGTCTTCTCTGAATCTCATAGAGATAAAAATCAAAAATGGCGAGCAATCGTTCGTGAATAGAGAATGAAAAAAAAAATAAAATAAGGAAAATGAAGATGAAATAAAAAAAAAAAAAACAATCGAGAGAGAGAGAGAGAGAGAGAGAGAGAGAGAGAATGTTGGTTTGAATTTGTTTTAACTAATTTTTTTTTTTTTTTTTTTTTCCATTTCCTGTTCTGTTTTCTGTGACAATCACTAATTAACCGTCGTCATCATCATCATCATCATCATCATCATCGACAGTCATCATCTGCCATTTTAGATGTTTATTTTGTTGATGAGTAGTTATCCAATTGTTATTTTAATTACTCCAGGTTTATCTTTTTTGAATTTTAAATATCATTTTTTAAAACTTGTGTCGATTTTCTTTTGTTATGTCAACTTTATTCTTTTTATTTTTTTTAATAATGCGTTTTGTTGGTTTATTCACTTCTCCTCTTTCTCCTCAACCTCCTCCTCCTTTTCCTCCTCCTTCTCATAATTTCACGTGTGTGTGTGTGTGTGTTTCATAAGTAACCTTCCAAACGAATATTTAATAGAATAATAATAATAAAACGACAGGTTTGTTAAAAAAAAAAAAAACGATTATATTTTCAGTAAACAAATTGTTTTTTAAACAAACAAACACACACATTTATTAGAAAATTGTTTTGTTGTGTGTGTGTATATGCAACGTATGTGCGAGAGGAAATGAAAATGAATTAAAAATTTTCAATTTTTCGGGGAGGGGGGAGCGGGGAGATTCGAATTCGCCTCTACCCTTGGTAGAAATAGTTTGATTTCTGAACGTACCTACAAATTTAACATCGTCTGCTTAAGCATTTTATACGTCGTGACTCATTTTTTCGACATGAAAAATTTTTTTTGTTTGTCGTGGAAAACAAAAAAAAAAAAAAAAACAAACCCGATCAGGTTTTTTTTTATTTTTTTTATAAGATTATTATTATTATTATAATCACGCAAACGTAATTAAACGGAAAAAGGCTGAGAACTTAAATGTTAACAAAAAAAAAAAAAAAACAAAAAAAAAATGCAAAATACGCTACGATAACATAAACTCAAACATAATTTATTATTATTATTATTATTTATTATTATTATTATTATTATTATTATTATTATTATTATATGATGACGTACAACAATAAGAAAGAGAAAAAAACTCACCCAAAAATTTAGTTACGGCTCCTTGTTGCGTAAGCATGTGTTGAGCGAGATCGTAGTGTCTTCCCAAACCGAATCTTGAGAGTTCTAATAGTCTTTGTTGTTGAGATGCTAAATTTGCTAGAGGATGACCCGGTGATATAGAGGTCAAAGGTGGAGCACCAAGAGTTGAAACGTATAAATCTCTTAGAGACGTGCTCGGTGCGTTTAAAACGTTCGTTCCTGTTGCTGTTGTTATTAAAAAAAAAAAAAGCAGAAGAAAAAGTTTGTTGTTGAAAAACATTTCCATGATTTATTATTATTATTATTATCATTATCATTATCATTATCATCATCATCATCATCATCATCATCATCATCATCATCATCATCATCATCATCATCATTATTATTATTATTATTATTATTATCATTATTACTTTAACATAAACGAATTTTTTTTTGTTTTGTTTTTCCGCCGCCATTTTTAACGGTCAAGGGAGGAAACGAAAAGAAAATACAAAAAAAAAAAAGTAAGAAAAAAATGTTTTTCACGATGAGTATGCGCGTAGTAAATAATAATGATGATGATGATGATAATAGTAATAATTTTTTTTTTCAATTTTTAACTCCACCCCCGTTCGATTGTTTTTCCCCCAAAAATTTAAATAAAAAAAGATGCTGGAACTTTTTTTTTATTGGTTTGTTTATAAAATATATAAAATTTACCCTTCGTGTTCACAACACGAAAAGTTTTTTCCAAAAAAAAATAAAAAGGGGGAAGGGGGTAAAAAAAAAAGAAAAAATTCATCTCTATGTAATTCGTGCAAAATATATGGTACGGTTTTAATGGGGGATATACGTATATATCATCCCCCTCTCCCTCCCTTTTTATTATTTAATAATAATTACACGTGAAAGGGTTTACAAATGATTTTAACTCGAAAGTTAGCCAGAGCCCTTAACCATAATGTTTTCTTTTTTTTTTTCCATCGGGTCCCCACGCACGCTCGCACACACGCACACACGCAAAACAATAAATTGTGGATGTCTTCAACCCCCCCCCCAAAAAAACAAAAAATTTTTTTTTTCACTCACATCAACACGATTTCATTCATAATTAATGTTGGAAAATTATAAGTTAACCTTTTGTGGCAAATAAAAAAAAAAAAACTTTGGGCTTATTCCGTTTTGTTTGTTGTTCGTTTGTTGTTTGTTTGTTAGTTTGTTTGCATCGACCTCGTCGACTTCCCATTAAATAATTTAACTTTTTTATTTTATTATTTTAAAATTTTATAAAAAAATTCTATTTCCACGTTTGTTTTTGTTTTTTAATTTTCTTCCAGATAAATTTTATGTCGCTATTATTATTATTATCAATATCATTATTATTATCATTATTATTATCATTATCATTATTATTACTTCAGGTATCGAATCGAATGTAAAATCGAGAATTTATTTATTTATTTTATTCGTAAAAAATAATACATACATACATAAATAAATAAAATCCATAATTTTTTTTTTTTGTTACATTGGAAACAATTTAACGACTTTAAATAATTTATTTAAACATAAACAAACAAACGAACAAACAAACAGACAAACGAAGGAACAAACAAACAAACACAAATAATAAATAACACGATTTTTAACGAAAACATTACATAAAAAAAAAAAAAAGTTGAATTCATTCAAATTTTTCTAACTAATTATATTTGGTAAAAGGTACACAATTATTTATTGTTGATTGGTAGCCATATTTTTTTTTTTTTTTTTAACACCTGAGGGTACCTATATATATACCTTAAACATTTTAAGGTACCTAATATAGTTATGTTGTTATTTATATTATAACTTTCAAATGTTTAATACGTTTGACAACATTATTAAAAAACATTTTCGTTTGTTTTATTATTATTATTATTAAGTAAATCACAAACGTGGGTAATGCAAATAGGTTTTTTTTAGGGGTAGAAAAGGGGTAAGCGGGGGAGGGGGAGGTAAATGGGTACGTTTCGATAAAAAAAAAGGTTTTTGTCATTTTTACGAAACTTATTATTATTATTATTGTTCGCGAAAAAAAATAATAATACTAATTACTATGATAAGTAATATCATATCATTTAAAATGAAAACATTGTTAATTTAAAAGTAAATGATAATGTCTTGAAACATTTTTTTTTTTTTACTCGCTTTAAGGTATACAATTCCGTAAAAAAAAAAAAAAAAACACCTTAATAAGAAGATATGTTAGGTGGTAAACAAAGGGCCGAAACGAAACCACAGGCACGCCCATTAACAAAAAAACTATCGTACCTGACTGCCTGCCTGATGATGATCCTCTTTTGCACCTTATAAATTTCTTTTTAACTAAATAAATCAACGTCAATTCAATGGATGGATTCAGGTTTAATTTTTTATACGTCGTCGGAATTGTTACCTTTTGATTACTTTTTTTAAAAATAAATGCCGTCGTCTATCATCGTTTTAAATTGTCCAAAAAATTTTGTCTGTACCTGTGTGTGCGTGCGCGCGCGCGAGTATATATACAAACAAACAAAAACGACTGTAATGCGCGTACCTTAATATAACTTGAGGCCACTCATTCAACAACAAACATTTCATTATTATTATTATTATTACTTTTTTTTTTTTTATAAATTTGATTGCTAATTTTTACTCATCTTTTTTTTTTTTTACATTTATTTAAATCTCGTTAGTATGACGTGTTGATGTTTGTTTGTTTGTCGTCGCTTTGACGTCGTCGTGGTTGTTGTTGTTGTTGTTGCAACTCGACATCGCAAATAATTCATTTAAAAAATTTTATTATTAGGTTTTCCCGATAATGATTTTCCCCCTTGATCATTATTTCATCGAATTAGGTACCCATTTTACATACCTTAGGTATTTACACACACAAAATTATTATTATTATTATCATTTCACGATTTAGTAGAATAGTAATAGCGATATGCGAAAAAAAAAAGGTTTAAAGAAATAGTATATGAAAATGATTCATTGACGTAATATAACTGATAAGAGGTTCAAAACCGATACTTTATTAATACGTTAATGAGTATTATTATTATTATTAATAAAAAAACCTCTTATCGTTAATAAATTAATAATGATGATAAAGTTTATTTATTTTTATTTTTTTTTATAGTTACCTGATGGAGACATTGCTAATGATAAAGGAGTTGGTAAATTTGATGATGTGACCGACGGTGAGTCCATCTTTAAATCATCACAAATTATTTTTTATCTCTCTCTCTCTCTCTCTCTCTCTCTCTCTCTCTCTCTCTCCTTCTTTCTTTCTCTCTCTTTGTCTCAACTGTCACTTTTTATTAGTTTACGTTATGTAGGAAAATTTTTTTAGAAAGAAAAATCGATATAAACGCACTCGCGATTTTTTTAAAATAAAATCACAAAATACTCGCGTAAAATTATTACTTGCTATAAAAAAAAAAAAAAAAAAAAAACACAAATCGATAAATATTATTTATCGTATATTATATTAAAAATTATTATTATTATTAAAATCAAAATGGAGTCAAATCACAGAGAAAAAAAAAAAAATTTTATCGTTGGTTAACTAACTAACTCGCACACGCTCATTCAAATATCGAATACTACTTTATATTGAGCAGTTTGCTTGCGAATGTTCACGTTATTTTATTTTATTTTTTTTTATTTTTTTAACTATCATTATTATTATCATTATTATTATTATTTTCGTGCGGCATTAATGGAGTGTGTTTATATTTAAGTGTATATCGCCTATGTTTAACTTATGAATACGTATAATACGTTTATATGTAATTTCTATTCGTTCGACTCCTCCGGTTTTTTTTTTTTTTTTTTTTTTTTAATGTTTAACTCGTTTTGGTTTCTCCCCACTTTATTGTTGAATGGATATATATGTGTGTTAGAAATGTTTTTTTTAAAACGTACCTGAACGTAATCGATGAATTTCCACGGCAAACGTAATAATTTTTTTTTTCCCCCCGAGTTTTTCCACGTTTTCAAAGATGGTTGGAAAATTTCGACGGTTTTTTTTCGTTTTTGAAAAGTTGGTAGTATCGAAACTCCTGTCGTAAGATCAAATTATTGGTTTAGTAATTGAGATTAGGAGAGCATTTTTTGTTTTTTCTACTGAACCTCGTATATTTTGGGGGGGGTTTTATTTGGGGGGGAAAGAAGTAGTCAAAGGTTGAAGTCAGGTTAAAAAGGTTAAAAAAGTTTAATTTTTTAATTTTGGTTTTTCCAAATCATTTTATAAAATTAATATTTTTTTTTATATCTTTGTTGTAAATTTTCCGGAAATAGTTTTTCTTTTTTTAATTGTCTCTTTTCCCAAGTCTAATCCCACGTCTTTTTTTAAATTTATTTTTATTATTATTTTTTTATTAAACAATGACTTTTCTTTTTATTCAATAATAGAATCGTTTTGATTTCCCCCTCCCACTCCCACTCCCCGTTCGTTACTTATAATTATCATTAAAAAAAAAAAAAAAAAACTTTCTTAACGTACGTAGTTATCATTATTATTTATTAATAATAATAATAATTTTCCAAAATAATTAAAAATTTAAATTTAATTTCTTTCATTCGATTATTTTTTTTTTTTTTTAAAGTTTAATAATAAGTTGAATTATATAAGGACAACACTTAAATCATTTTAATACTAAATAGATAGATTGGGAGTGGGGGGAAAAAAATTAATTTAAACATCTACTGCTAGTTAATAATAATAATAATAATAATAATAATAATAATATTTCGATATGATTAACATAAGGGATCATTTTTTTTGAAAAATTTCGTGTATTTTTATATATTATATATTATTCCAAGTTGAAAAGTTTAAAAAAAAAAAAAAATTTTCGAAACTATTAATTAATAAATTTTCATCGGTTATCCGATCAATTGTTTTTTTTTTTTTCTTCTGCTATTTTAACAAAAAAAAAAAAAAAAAAAAAAGAGAAAACGAATTTTTTTTTTTTTTTACATTGTTTATTATTTATTCCAGTTGATTTGTATAACGTAAATAATTTATGGCCGATACAAATTATACGGGGTTAAGTTTATTCATCCAAGTGGTAACAGAATAAGCCCCCCCCCCCAAAAAAAAAAAAACCATTTTCTTTTTCTTTTCTTTCACTCCCTTCTCGTCTTATTCGTTAATTAAATATAAGGATCAAAAATTAAAATTATCATTATTAATATTTAAATAACTTATTTTCTTTTTTTTTTTTTTTTCTTTACTTTATTGTTTTGTATTTGGTTAGGAAAAAAAAAACG